CCACACGCCAGGGTGACATATAACAACACAATGGCAAAGAAGCCCCATTGCAAGGGTTAATTTTGCCTGGAGTTCTTCAATGTTGGTCAAAAGGAACTTGGAAGGGTAAGAACCTCTGCTGGATTTATTTGCTGAGTCACCATTGGGAAGATTTTCCCTACCTTCCTGTTCTCTGTATCACCATTAGGAAGATTTCCCCTCACTTCCTGCCCTTTGTGTTACCATTAGGAAGATTTACCCTCACTTCCTGTCCTCTGTATCACCACTGTGAAGATTTCCCCTACCTTCCTGTTCTCTGTGTTACCATAGTGAGATTTCCCCTCACCTCCTGTCCTCTGTATCACTATTAGGAAGGTTTCCCCTCACTTCCTGTCCCCTGTGTTACCATAGGGAAATTTCCCCTCCTGTCCTCAGTCAAGACCTCCCCGAGACAGGGGTAATCTCTCTCATGGTGCTACAATTAGTAGTCCATTGGTTGGCCCACAATTTTGTCCTCCTACTGACAGTAGATTGTGAGCTCTTTGGTGCGACAGACGCCGATGCCAACAGTCCATCATTCTCTGCAACCGGCTGCAGAAAAAAGTGTCAGCGTCCTATAAATGAGTGAAATGAATCATAACAACCCGTCACAATGTTTTCCTGATGCCCAAAGGGGGAAGAAAAAACACTTGTCATCTCTCATCGCCTTGGAGTTGATGAGTTGCTAGGGGCAACACACATTTCTTCCAGCCAGACGCTCTGACAGACGAGGTTTTATAGCAGAAAATAACAACAGAATCCGCTCAGCTAATTGCTTTTTTTTCTTCATTCTGCGTTCGATCGGCTCATCATCCTGTCACTCTGAGACTGATCCCTCCCGGGCGAGCATGTTTCTGGAGACGCGATCAGAGCATGGGCCCCACGCAGAGTGGCCTCTAGTTTTTGTAATGGAGTTAATTTTAAATAGTTTGTCGCTGATGTTGCCTTCACAGTTGAACATCTTGTACATCGAAATCATATCCCCCCTTAATCTCCTCACCTCCAATGTGAACATGTTTAAATACATGATACTTTGAGACAAGGTTTGAGATATAGCCGGGGGCAGAGTTGGGGTTGCAGACACTGAGCGGTTGGTCAGGTGAATGAGTCTGGCAGCTGAATTCATGATAGACTGAAGGGGGGATAGCCTGTGTAGAGGTAAGTCAATGAGGAGGGAATTGCAATAGTCAAGACGAGAGATAACAAGTGAGTGGATGAGTAATTTAGTGGTTTCATTGGTGAGGAAGGGGGCGTATTTTGGAGATGTTGCGAAGCTGAAGGCGGCACTATTTGGATAGTGATTGGATGTGGGGAAGAAAGGTGAGGTCCGAGTCAAGGTTGTAGGTGCACAATTGCCTAAGCTATCTTTGTACCCTTCAATGGAAACGCCTGAACTCAATAGTTGGGTGCCTACATGCTTCTTGCCATTTCAACTGTGCTGGAGATGTTCTGTAATACTGTACATACA